GCTTCTGTGAGACAAACCTTGCAAAGCAAGTACTCAACAGTACAGTCATTGTGTCACCCACCCCTGCAGTCACGTTCAGATGAAATGAACAAGGATGAATACCTCTTCTCTGCCTGGGTGGCATGAACCAGGGGTCTCTGAGGCCAGTTGTTTGCACGGACTTCCCACCTTCTCACTATTTCCCCATCTCATTCTTTATCTTCAGGGGGAGCTGACTATGACCAGCCACATGGAAAACTTACAGAATGCCCTGTACTTCGATATGGTGCCAGAGTCCTGGGCTAGACGAGCCTACCCTTCCACCGCAGGCCTGGCTGCCTGGTTCCTAGACCTCCTTAACAGAATTAAGGAGCTAGAGGCTTGGACGAGTGATTTTACAATGCCCTCCACTGTGTGGCTGACAGGCTTCTTCAACCCCCAGTCCTTCCTGACGGCCGTCATGCAGTCCACGGCCCGCAAGAATGAGTGGCCACTGGACCAGATGGCCCTGCAATGTGATGTGACAAAGAAGAACAGAGAAGAGTTTAGGAGTCCTCCTCGGGTAGGGGTCTACGTCCATGGCCTCTTCATGGAAGGTGCCCGCTGGGACACACAGGTAAAGCCTGGGATGAACCAAAGGGCATATTTTTGGGGGCTGATTAAATACACATTGCTTCCTGTGAAATCTGACCACTAAAAGAGATACCCCTGAATCTTTTTATCTAGATAACCTTTCTTTCTCTGAGGCCATAAAGCCATTTTTATCTAGTCAGGGGTGATGCAAAGAGCATAGACTTTGCAGAGGGAGTAGAGTGGAAAGGTTAATAGCAAGGGCTTTGGAAGCAGACTGGCTGGATCTGAGTCCCAGCACCATCATTTGTTAACTCTGTGACTTGAGATATAATTTCACCTTTCCAGACCTCACCTGTTAGATGGAAGAATAGTGTCATCATAACAATTAAGCGAGTTACTATGTAAGACACTTGAACGGTGCCTGGCATATAGGTGGTGCTCAAAAAGTGCTGGAGTCAGCTATCTCTCCTGCTGCTGCTGTGTGTGTCTGGGGGATATTATTTCACCTCCTTGGTCCACTTTCTTTATTCATGAGCTCTCAAAGATCAGGAATCTTCTGCTTTTCATGTTGTCCTGCGTTGGCAAAGAGGAGCCAGTAGGTATAGCTTAAAGTGGCATTTTGAAAGGGTTCCTCATCAAAGGCTAATAAAAATGTGAGTCACCATGAGATTGGAGAAGAAGTTTTGTCACAGATAAGAAACTGAAAAAAACAAGCACAGATGCCTGAGATAAATGAAATGAACAAGAATGGATAACTCTAGAAGTGTACACTTGTACGCAATCTGGAAAGAGTGCGTAGTCAAATATCCCACTTGACAGGTGACACTAAACTATTCTTAGCAGTCAAGATAAAGCTAATGGGGCAAAATTGTTAGAAGATCCAGAAGATCCCAGGAGGCCATGTGAATATGCACATAGAGATACACTTGGTTCAGTAGTACCCCCAAAAATTCATGTCTAGGCATAACCCCAGAATGAATATTTAGACATAAGGTCTTTGATTAGTTAAGATGAGGTCATACTGGATTATCATGAACCCTAAATCAAATGACCAGTACTCTTATACAGACCACACAGATGGCCATAGATATGGGAACAATAGACACTGTGGATTATTAGAGGGTGGAGGGAGGAGTGGGGGTTAATAAAAACTACCTGTCCAGTCCTATGCTCACTAACTAGGTGAGGATGAATCCATACTCCAAACCTCAGCATCACACATTTCCATGTAACAAATCTGCACATGTACCCCATGTATCTATGAGTTGAAATTTATAAAAAAAGAATCTAAAATAGCCGGGCACAGTGGCTCGCGCCTATAATCCCAGCACTTTGGGAGGCCGAGGTGGGTGGATCACGAGGTCAAGAGATCGAGACCATCCTGGTCAACAAGGAGAAACCCCGTCTCTACTAAAAATTCAAAAATTAGCTGGGCATGGTGGCACGTGCCTGTAGTCCCAGCTACTCGGGAGGCTGAGGTAGGAGAATTGCTTGAACCCAGGAGGTGGAGGTTGCAGTGAGCCGAGATCGCGCCATTGCACTCAAGCCCGGGTAACAAGAGCAAAACTCTGTCTCAAAAAAAAAAAAAAAAAGAATCTAAAAGAAAAAGGAGATGGAAAATTTTTTGGGACATGTTTTATAATGGTTAGCATTTTGTTAGATATAGCAAGTAACAGTCTCTTGGAGTACTATCAGCAGCAGAAAATGTATTGGTTCATTCCATACACGCTTGCAGTTAAACAAATTACATCAAACATACATACATACAAACACACACACACACACGACCATGTAGAGACACAGACGAGAATGCCCTATGAAGGTAGAGGCAGAAATTGGAGTGATGCATCTACAAGCCTAGGAATTCCAGGGATTGCCAGCAACCATCAGAAGCTAGGAAAGGTATGGGACGGTTTCTGCCTCAGAACCTCCAGGAGGACCAACTCTGCCCCCACTTTGACTTAGGACTTCTGACCTCCAGAGCTATGAGAGGATATGTTGTTTCAAGCCATCAAGTTTGTGGCATTTTATTACACCAGCCCTAGGAAACCCATCCAAGAGCCAACAGAACAGTAAAGCAGGACAATGTTCAGACAGCCTGCATCTAAGATGCCTCTTCTCATGTTTTATCCTCAGGCTGGGATCATTACAGAGGCAAAGCTGAAGGATCTGACACCCCCTATGCCTGTGATGTTCATCAAGGCCATTCCTGCAGATAAGCAGGACTGCTGCAGTGTCTATTGCTGTCCTGTGTACAAGACGAGTCAGCGGGGACCCACCTATGTGTGGACTTTCAACCTGAAGACTAAGGAAAACCCATCCAAGTGGGTAATGGCTGGTGTAGCCTTGCTTCTCCAGATTTAGCTTCCTGCAGAACCACTGAGAAAAGAAAAAGGCTGGGCTTGGAGGCTGCCCAGAGGGACACGTGGGTGAAGGGTGACCGCAGACACTTAGAAAGATAACAAACCATGAACACTCGTAACTGTAGAATTCCTCTAGGGAACTTAGAGAGATATGCCTAAAGTGAGGCTGAGCTGGAGGAATATGGACCCAGGAACTAGAAGAGGAGAATTTCATAATGCTAAACCTTTCTTAATAAAGTGATTTACTCAATCAACTGTGTCTGGCCCAGGATCTGAGAGCTGCTTAGTCACAAATGATCGTGTAGAGACCAAGAGAAATAAGCCACAAACACCTGGGCCCTGACCTTGTTATACACACCATCCTAAGGTACTCTTGCTCCAGGCTACTCCACTCAGTCCTTGGACCAGTGGTATTGGCATCACCCATGAACCAGAATCTCCATTTCACCAATCTCTCTAAGAAATGTGTATGCACGTTATAGTTTGAGAAACACTACCCTGGAGCAGGGTCACCAGAATTTTTCTATAAAGAATGAGTTAGTTAATACCTTATTATTTACAGGCCACAATGCCTCTGTTTGAACTTTGCAACTCTGCCACGGTAGGACAACCATAAATGGTGAGTAAACGAAGGGGTGTGGCTGCATTCCAACAAACTTTATTTACAAAAACAAGCAATGGGCCGTACTGCTGATCCCTGCTGCAGAGGATAAGGGAGGTCTATACTGATATTTATCCTTCATTAATTCATGCATCCACTCAATACATTTTAACCTAACACCTACTATTTGTTGTGGATACAACTGTGAACAAGAAAAGAAGTATCTCTGTCATTCTTTAAATCATTTAAGAGGAAATGAAGAAGAAACCTTTAAAGCTTTTTAATCTAAAAGTTTTCTAGATTTATCTCTGTGGAACAAATTTTCACTGCAAATCTGATGGGTTCCACAGTTTTTATGAGTTTTAAAAAGCTCTATGAGGCAGCTTATTTATAATTAAAGTATGGGAGGACCCATATTCCTTATGTATCTATTCCCACAGACACATAATTTGTTGATTACTATTTAGAACACTGGTTCTTAAATTTGAACAGGTATCAGAATCCCCTAGAGGACTTGTTAAGACAAAGATTGCTGTGACCCGCCCTTCAGTATTTCTGATTGAGTAAGTTTAAACAAATTGCCCATGCTGCTGGTCCGGAGGCCAGAGTTTGAGAACCCATAATTTAAAACCTCAAATCCCAGCATCCTATAAATCTCTGCCATACAGAATATGGAATCTAATGCTAATTCCTCTATAATTTTCCTGCTTTCTTCCTTGCAGTTCCTGCACCCCCTGTGTGAGTCCTTATTTCTCATCAGCATGATGTAAGGGGAGTTAATAAATTTTACTGCTGGAATCCAAGAACTCCAGCTTGGGTTTTATCCTTCCTCTCGCATCAACTAGTAATGTACTGCAGCTTACTGACGATAGGTTAATCTGTTTTCAGGGAAATAACTCTGTCCACATTGGCATTATCCTTCCTGACCCTCACCCAGAGTAGTATAATAATATCAGGCAAAAAGAAGGAGGTGGAAGATGGCGGGGAAGGGGGAAGTCTCACTATATAGGCAGGACACTTTGAGGCATATAACTTGTGGAGACAAGGTCAATTGGACAGTTTAGATACATGTGTTAATAAACTTCTAGACAGTATTATAAATTAGATCAATACTATTGATTTCTTCCTAACACAGACAAAATGAGAATATAATAAAAGTAATTTTAAAGCATAGAGCACTTTAGCAAAAATGATAGCCCATGTGGGATGCCAGGAGAAAGAGGGGCGGCTTGAAGCAAGAGATCAAGTGGAAGGTTGGCTCAGAAAGAGGCCACCAAAAACAAAGTTACCTGAGATAAAGGGATTGCCAGCACTGGCCAAACTCTCATCCTCTGAACATTAGGCTAGCACTTTCCTATTACTGTTCTACTACGTAATGAACTTCATAGGTTTACAGGGGCTGATTTTGGAACTCAACTGCCTAGGGTCCTCTATGAAATAATGTGCTTTGAAATACAGTCAAACACACAGTGAATACTTCAAACAAGATAGGAAGAGACTCTGCTAAGTTTATATCAAACAAGGAACACTTGAACTTAGTTTTTCACCCCATCACAAAGAACACATGTGATCTCACTGCTCCTCTGTGTGTCTCCCCTTCTCTCCTTCTGGAAGAGAAGACTTGCTCTAGAACCCACTTTAAGGGGCTGATCTCAGGTTCTTCCCATAAGCAGTGACTACAGCTAATCCCATTAAATGCCTCCCAGAAAGCACTTCTAAAACTGGATCTCCAATTTAGACTTTTTCCCCAATAAGTCCAAAGGAAGGATGAGTGGAAACATGAAGAGTATTCTTTCTCCTGAGGCAGAATCGAGAATTTAAGCCATTGTGAAATCCAATCCAAGATATCCTCCAAGTCCAAAGCCATCTCCAGATTCTTTCCTCTCTAATCCATGAAAAAAGGAGCTATCAAGGGGTATCCTCTTAGAGACATAATTCTTCTTGACGGAGCTGAGTGTTTTTTTTTTTTAATGGGCTGGGAGATGGAAATGGGCAGACAGAGTGTGGTGACTGGCTATTGAAAGGGCTTCTTTCCTAGGTGGGATCTTTGATGTTTGTCAAGACTCGAGCTCCAGCTGAAACTTTTCCCACAATGGGAACACTTATAAGGTTTCTCTCCTGTGTGAACCCTCTGATGTCTATTAAAGTTTGATCTTTGAATGAAACTTTTCTCACAGATGGGACATTTATAGGGTTTCTCTCCCGTGTGGATTTTCTCATGGTGGCGCAATCCCGAGAAGTCACTAAAGCCTTTCCCACAGTAATCACATTTACAGGGCTTCTCTCCTGTGTGAGTTCTCTGATGCTTCACGAAGTCTGAACTCCGCAGAAAGGCTTTTTTGCAGATGGTGCACTGAAAGTATGTCTCTCCGGTGTGAGTTCTTTGGTGAAAAACAAGCTGAGAATTCCTATAAAAGGTCTTCCCACACTCCCTACAGGTGGGGAGCTTTTGGGCCATGGGGGCTCTTGGCTGCCCCCTCTGGCAGGTCTCTCTCTTCTCCTCAAGCCACATGGTGGACACTTCTCCTGAATGAGAATTAGGCAAATGCTGACCGAGTGGTTTCTCAGAAATCCTTTCTTGAGAGAGCTGTTCCCCTGTTCCCTCATCCTGAATGTTTTGCAGAGCCTCAGGGAGATTCTCTCCTTCTTCAAAGCATCCTGGCTCATCCTCACTAAAGAAGCCCCTCAAGGAAACCTGAGAAGGTACCTCTCCTGAGGCTTGACAGGAAGCATGCAGAAGTTCCTGGTCTCTGTGATTTTCCAAGTTTAAGTTCTCCTTGTCATTCTCTTGTCTATCTCCTAAAAGAAGAGAGAAGATTTGAAATCGTTCAAGTGCTTTGCCCTGTTTTCTAACTCATATGTCAAAGAGAAGGTCATCAAAAAACATTCATTTTCTTTTTTTTTTTTTTAAGGCATTAGTAAGTGAGAAGAAAACTACCATATGGCCTGAATGCCAGAACTTACTTTCCCTGTCCTGGGTTCAATGCTAACTGGTTCAGCTCTGGAGCTGAGGACTTTTAAACAACAAAGGAGCACTCAAAGTGCTGTCCTGATCCCTCCATAAATAAGCCGCATGTATTTCTTAAGGCCCTGGAAAAAAGCAAGTATACTACTGCTTTTAAAATGATTTTATCTGATTATATAAAAAAGATAAATATAACTTAAAAAAAAACTGAACAGATAGAAACATATACAGAAGAAAACTAAATCCACCTCAATCTTACTACCCAGAGATAACAACTACGAGCATACATTTCCTTTCAGTCTTTTTTACCTATACGTATGCACGTATATGCTATTTTCTGACATAATTTGTGCCATATTGTATATACAGTTCTATATCCAGCTAGGTAGCATTTAATTGTAAATGGTGGTATTTATTAATCAATTTAATATGGAGTCTCCCTCTCCCATTGATAAGACACCCCAAATTTGTGAAATGCATTGTGCCATTTTACCACAGTCACAGTGCAGTGAGGCTGTGCTATAAAAGTGAATCCTTTGATCTGTGCTTGAATATAGTATTTACATGCACTTTATTAAATCACACTAACAACTGGAAGTTTGTTTTTCTCATCATAACTTGGGTTTTTGGTTATACTACTTAATGATGCATATAGAAAACTTTTATTTTGGTGGTTAAAATTTTCAACTTTTAGAAATTATTTTATCTGTATAGATCTAAAGACGCCATTTACCTTTCTCTTTCATATATTAGTGTCTTTTCAATTGTCTGCCAGGGATCTAGGCATCTTCTAGAGAACTAAATCCGAACTTGTTAGGTCAAAAAGCCTTAGATTGTCCCTGAATCTAAAATAAAATTAGGCCTCGGAACATATTCCTCAAATGGCAAAGATACTTTCTCTTGTCTTTAAGAAAAAGCCTTTATTAATATCATTTTAAAAAGCTGAGCAATGGCCCATCAAGAAGATGTCACAATAAACACATCATTTGTTCTCCTACCATGGAAATCTAATTTGTTTATTACGTTTTTGCTACTATAAATAATGCTGTGATCAGCATTTTTCTTTTTAGTTTTTGCCCACATTTCTCATCAATATCTCAAAGGAATTTCTCAAAGTAGAATTACTTTGTCAACTGGCATAAATATTAAGGCAACCCAGCTTCCAGAACGACTTTGCCATTCTCTCATATGTGAAAGTGGACAGAGGGGGAAGTGGGTATTCAATACTTAAATATTGAATATTTTTAAATATAAGCCATTTAGATGGAAAAAAAATGGTTTTTCATCATTTTAAATTTTACTTTGTAAGTTATAAAAGAATGAATCTTTATCACATTTATGAGCTATTTTTCATACTCAAAGACTGCTGCCCATATTTTACTGGGAAAGTACATTTTTCTTATCAACTTGCTTTCACTCCTTCTATATTAACAAAAATAATCATTTATCTGTCATGTTGATAAAAAGTGTTTTTTACCAATTTAGTTACCCTAATTTGCTGGTGGGGTTTTTTTTTTTTTTTTTTTTGAGACGGAGTTTCACTCTTGTTGCCCAGGCTGGAGTGCAATGGTGCGATCTCGGCTCACTGCAACCTCCACCTCCTGGGTTCAAGCAATTCTCCTGCCTCAGCCTCCTGAATAGCTGGGATTACAGGCGTCCGCCACCACACCAGGTTAGTTTTGTATTTTTAGTAGAGATGGGGTTTCTCCATGTTGGTCAGACTGGTCTTGAACTCCTGACCTCAGGTGATCTGCCCACCTTGGCCTCCCAAAGTGCTGGGATTACAGGCGTGAGCCACTGTGCCAACCATGATCATGTTAAATTCTTATACAGACCAGCATCTCTTTCTAGATTCCCTTTTCTGTTCCACAGATCTGTGCATTTATTTTTATATCAGCATCAAACCATTTTAATGTTTACCTTTACATTACAACAGACTTAATATTTTCAAATCTAACATGCATGAAACATTCTTCTTGCAAAACTTTTTTTTTAATGTTCTTGCATGTTATATTCTTCCAGATAACTACTTTAAAAACTTTAATCCATTGGATTTTGATTAGAAGTGTAAATATATGGCTTTTTGAGACTGCCCCCTGCTGGCCTGTTTTAACTAGGAGCTGTTCTTCCATATGGTCAACTATAAGAGCACATTCACTTGCTATATTGACTTTTGCCCCTGATCCGAGTCCAGATCTGGTAAAGTAGCAAACTGTTATATTTTTCAAACCAGGCCTTTCCCGTCTGGTTACTGTGACTTCCACAATTATTCTAGATCTCTTCCCTCCACACGTGGACTCCTGCATTGACTATCTGCAGGCTCCTCTTCTCCAAGTGTTCCCTTCCTATCTGTCCTACACATTGCTGCCAGATTCATCTTCCTAAACCTCTTTCCATAGCTCCTTTTTTTTTGTCTGAGACAGAGCTTCATTCTTGTTGCCCAGGCTGGAGTGCAATGGTGCAGTCTCAGCTCACTGCAACCTCCGCCTCCCGAGTTCAAGCAATTCTCTTGCCTCAGCCTCCCAAGTAGCTGGGATGACAGGTGCCAACCATCACACCCAGCCAAGTTTTGTTTTGTTTTTTTTCAGTGTAGACAGGAACCTATAATCGCTTTTTTTTTTTTTTTTTTTTTTTGCCTATCATAGGCAGGATGGCCCTTGTAGACTCCTCACATCTAGTAAAAGGCAGGATCTACTGGGACCATGTCAGCAGGTGGGATAAAGGAAAAATAAACAAACAAAAAATGAGTAGGAATACAGTGAGCTATATATTAGAAATAAGATCAGACTACTAGGAGTGATATGGGAAATCCCTGTACCTTCCACTGAATTCTACAAACCCAAAACTGCTCTAAAAATATGTCTATCCAAAAAAAAAAAAAAAAAAAAAATCCTATTGCAACAACCTCCAAAGCAATATTTTTTCTGACTACAACCCATGGTAAGTTCTATGGACTAAACTGTGATCCCCCAAAATTCTTAGGTTGAAACCCTAGCCCCCAGTATGATGGTATGTGGAGATGGGGCCTGGGACCTTTGGGAGGGCTTAGGTCTAGATGAGGTCCTAAGGGCAGAGTACTCGTGATGAGATTAGTTCCCTATCCCCCTTCTGTCTCTCTCACCTCCCCGCCATCTCTCCCTTGCTCTCCCCGTCTCTTCTCCCCTTCTCGCCAACCCCCCTCTCTGCTATGTGAAGACACAGCAAGAAAAGCGAGGTCAGCAAACCTCGCTGGCACCTGATCTTGGACTTCCCAACCTCCACAAACGTGAGAAATTAATGTTTGTTGTTTAAGTAACTTAGTCTATGGTATTTTGTTATAGCAGCCCAAGCTACGGCAGTAATCAATATATTTATATAGAAACACAGTACACAGACACATATTTTAAACAAATATTTCCTGAAACACGACCCATCCCTGCATCTGATATTTCCTATTCAATTGTATTGATTCTTTTTTTTAATGCTGGTTATAACTCTATCAAATGATTCCACAACTCACTAATTGGTTATACAATGCAGTTTGAAAAAGACTGTTCCAGAAGAAATCATTGTGAAACAGCATGATAAATATGTTGCATAAAATTAAAATCAAATATATCTCAATAAAATCTAATATATCTCGCCACCCCAATAATTGCTCTCTCTGTGGTTTATGAGCAAAAGAAAATAATAATTAGATCCCACTGGGGAGAAAGAATGGCTTGCCCAACAATACCCACCTTTGGTCCTCTTCTTCCTCTGAGGTTCTGGGATTTACTATATATATAAAAGTATGTGTACGTGTGTGTGTGTGTAGGTTTCACAGTTAGGTTTTACGTAACTTGAATGCTTTGGAAAAAGTGTAGAAAGCAACGGTTGACTGCTATTTTCAAAGAGCACAAGTTCAGATTTCTTCTTCCCCAGTCTTAAACTATTTATAAGAAGTATTTGTTAGCGGGGCGCGGTGGCTCATGCCTGTAATCCCAGCACTTTGGGAGGCCGAGGCGGGTGGATCATGAAGTCAAGAGATCAAGACCATCCTGGTCAACATGGTGAAACCCCGTCTCTACTAAAAATACAAAAAATTAGCTGGGCATGGTGGCACATGCCTGTAATCCCAGCTACTCAGGAGGCTGAGGCAGGAGAATTGCCTGAACCCAGGAGGTGGAGGTTGCGGTGACCTGAGATCACGCCATTGCACTCCAGCCTGGGTAACAAAAGCAAAACTCCATCTCAAAAAAAAAAGAAGTATTTGTTGATGTTGCTGTTTAATAAATGTTAGGTGCATGGGGATTAGGTAAAACATGTTTTTCTGTTTGTTTTATGTCTAGATACTTTAACTTCTTGCGAGGAAGGGTAATAATGGCTGTGACATAATCCTTTGCAATGAAATTCTACTCTATTTGTATGGTCTCAATTTGTGTGAATCTTAATTCTTTCTGAGAAAGAATGCTAAAACAGACAAGATTAAACGCAGCAGGTCTGACGTGTGGTCTTCCTTCCATGGTTAAATATGTGTCAACAGCCCAACAGCCAGAGATAAGTAGACTCAATCTCAATATTCAAATCAAACCAATCAGATCATGGCTAGTTATAACAAACGTAATGGAATATTCCCTCCCCCAACACACACTTCCTTCACCACCTCCCCAGTCACCTCCAATGTAATGACAGGCAGTCAGAAATGATTCCAGACCAATGAAAGATTACTCACCTATGCAGCTGGGTCTTGGGATCTTATCATTGACATGAAGGTACAGTCCTGCCAGCTCTTCCCCATATTCTATTGAATTAGTCAGGTCAGGTTTGGAATGGGAAATGCCTGCTATAGAGAGAAAGATGTATGGTGGGCCTTGATGAATGGGGAAGCTGGGAGCTCAAGCTGTGTCTTTCAAAGGAGCACCTTATGCATCAGGGAAAATATAAAGGCTCTGGACACTTGTAGAAACTCACCTTAGAACAGCGTGTGAAGCTTGTAAGACACCAGTACTCACAGGATGACCTTGACAGATGGTAAAGGCCACAAAAACAAGAGTCTCGGCAGGTGAACAGAAAGGTCTGTAGACTGCCTGACAGGCTGGTGTGAGAATCATGACTGGGATGCCACTAATGGTTGGTTGACAGGTGTGGTTTATTAGAAAAGAGCATGGACTCAGAGCCAGCCACAACTGAGTTCCATCATAACTCAGCCCACTTATGAGCTATGTGGCAGTGGCTAAGTATTTGATCTGATACTCATTTTCATCGGGCTTAAAATGAGAATACCATCATCCATTTCAGATATTAAAGAAGCTACTCCATGCAATGTACCCACAAACAGTTCCTGGCACACTGAATACTTTCAATACAAGGAAGTTCTTACTGTAATTCTGCTATCTCCAACTTGTCCCAGTTCCCAACTATGCCTCTAATGATTTCCTTCATCTAGCAATTGTAAGTTCAGCAGATGTCTCTAAGAGTGCATAGAAAATGCCTAACATTCCAGTACGTCCTTCTTCCATCAGGCTAACCCACGCCCTCACCTCCTGAGACCATTTTCCCATAGGTCTCCAGCATGAGATCCCAGTATTGCTCCTTTTGAGTAGAATCCAGGTGTCTCCACTGTTCCTAGGGAAAAAAATATATAGTACCATGACTCCAATGAGATACCATGACTCCAAATATCCAATGAGGGTATTTGAACCTGCATTCCCTGCCTAAAGGAAAGCTGCGAAGAAAGAAACGTGCCATAGTATCCTGGCCATTGCAAGACCTAAGAAATCCCAGGAGAGTGGTGCAAGGAACGAAGAGGCCAAAGGGAAAACAACAGTCTCTACATCAATATTTCTTTCCCTAATTAGAAAACATCTAGACTTTACGTTCTGTATTTTTTCAGCTGAATTATTTAAAAATGGAGAACATACAGAGGACAGGAGCCTTTTCCATACTATTTGTTTTTTTAAAACTCAAGTGTGGGGCTGGGCACGGTGGCTCATGCCTGTAATCCCAGCACTTTGGGAGGCCGAGGAGGGTTGATCACGAGGTCAAGAGATCGAGACCATTCTGGTTAACATGGTGAAACCCCGTCTCTACTAAAAATACAAAAAATTAGCTGGGCTTGGTGGCTCATGCCTGTAATCCCAGCTACTCAGGAGGCTGAGGCAGGAGAATTGCCTGAACCCAGGAGGCAGAGGTTGCGGTGAGCCGAGATCGCGCCATTGCACTCCAGCCTGGGTAATAAGAGTGAAACTCCATCTCAAAGAAAATAATAATAATAATAATAAATAAAAAATAATAATAATAATAATAAATAAAAATAAATAATAAATAAAAATAATAATAATAATAATAAATAATAATAATAAATAAATAAATAATAAAAATAATAAATAGGGATCTTTGAACAGGACGAGCCTGGTAGTCCCACTATTTAGTTAAAATCAGGAAATTCAAAAAGCAAAAGAAAGAAGTTAGGAATCTGTTGGAAAAGCAAATGCAAATCAGTAAAATGTCATTAGAGTCAACTGCATTGTAAGCTTTACCCTGAAACAAAGATTGGTATATTCAGAGAAGAGAGAGATGTTATAGCCATACTTGAAATCTCTTATAGTTCTGCTCTTAAAGTCTAACATCAGATAGTGAAAACTGGTGGGTTCTCTGGAGCAAGGTGTCCCCCCACAATCTCCAAAAGAAGCCCTGCTTTTCCTAAGGAACAACAGACTGGAGACATAAAGCTGGGAATACCATACAGCTAGGGTCTGCCTTCGTGAATTCAGATTTCAATCTTCCATCAAGAAGTTGACTACTAGAAGCTCAGATTGTAGAGCAGAGGGATCAGCAGCCCATTTTCTGGAGTCAGACATACTGAGTTTTAAGTCCCTACCTTGCCACTTTCTAGCTGTGTAACCTCGAGCAAGTTTCTTAACCTTCCGGGGTTTCAGGCCTCACCTAATGATGAACAAGTGTTGGGAGGTTTGAGATAAATAATGCAAGTGTCACCTGTTTTCATTGCACACTGTACTCATTTTATTCACAGAATATATCTTCTTATTAAATATTTATGTGTATGTACACGTGCATATGCACACATGTAAGTATTTGATTGATTGCTGCCTCTACTAGCAATGTAAGCTCCATGAGAAAAGGATTCTGCCTGTCATACTCTGCCTGTCATTGTATAATACCTTCCCAGTTCCCAAGACTCTGCCCAGGACAGAAGAGGCACTCAATATATGTTGCCGGGGTGAAATAAAGCCCTTAGCAAATAGGTCCTCAGTAGGTAATATATATTATTACTATCGTATCAGTCTCCCAAACTCACCCCAAGGGTTTGCAGAGAGAATTAAGGGATTCTGCACACTTTCAGAAACCCCAAAATTGATAGTCATGAATAGCCAGGCTTCAGGGAACAGAAATGAGGAGAGGAATTACTAAGTCATCCTCCTACTGTACACAATATACTATTCAGGGAAGGCTCTCTATGATATGGTTTGGCTTTGTGTCCCCACCCAAATCTCATCTTGTAGCTCCCATAATTCCCACGTGTTGTGAGAGGGACCTGGTGGGAGATAACTGAATCAAGTGGGCAGGTCTTTCCTGTGTTGGTCTCATGATAGTGAATAAGACATTATCTGATGGCTTTAAAAATGGGAGTTTGCCTGCACAAGCTCTCTCTTTGCCTGTCCCCATCCACATTAGATGGGACTTGCTCCTCCTTGCCTTCCACCATGATTGTGAGGCCTCCCCAGTCATATGGGACTGTAAGTCCAATTAAACCTCTTTCTTTTGTAAATTGCCCAGTCTCAGATATGTCTTTATCAGCAGTGTGAAAATGGACTAATCTACTCTCAAGTCTAAATCAAGTCTGCCACCTAGCACATCAAAGGGAAATAGAAATGGCTCAAGGAGAAAGGAGATACCAAAAGTGTTTAATTAGCAGGTGCTAAGACAAACAAACGAAAGAGAGTTTAGATGTTTTGGGTGGAAGGGATAGAAAGCTGAAAAGTGACCTCAATTTATACTTAATTACATAGTCAACTATTTATTTATTTATTTATTGAGATACAGTTTTGCTCTTGTTGCCCAGGTTGGAGTGCAATGGTGCAATCTTGGCTCACTGCAATTTCCAACCCTCAGGTTCAAGTGATTCTCCTACCTCAGCCTCCATGATAGCTGACATTACAGGCACCCGCCACCACGCCCAGTTAATTTTTTTGTATTTTTAGTAGAGACGGGGTTTCTCCATGTTGGTCAGCCTGGTCTCAAACTCCCAGCCTCAGGTGATCTGCCCATCTTGGCCTCCCAAAGTACTAGGACAGGCATGAGCCTCCACACCTGGCCTACATAGTCAACTATTAACAATAACCACATTTTTAATGTGACTTTTAATTTAAATTTTTTAATTTTTAATGTATAAACAGCTAGCAATTTATTCGTTAATCTTCTGTGAATGCAGCTATTTTAACAACCTCCTAAAAATAACCACTTGAGCAAACATTGCTGAATATAGGAGTTCTCGGTCTTTTTGGTCACAGTAACATCTCCCTGGCTGCCTGGCTTGCTGACACAGGACCTATTCCATAAGCAGCAGAATAGTAGCTATCAAGAAGAGTACAAGGGCAGCAAAGGAAACAGCCACCAAAACCCCCAGGGGTCAAAATCAGCTCTTTCAAAAACCAGAAAAGTTGCTTCAGGAGCACTAACAGGGTACCTCCAGCTTAAAGACACAAATTTACTCCAAGAACAGCCGAGAAGCTGGGGACATTCGAATAAAATCTCCTACTAAAGAGGCAAGACACCAGTGGCAGCCAGCTTGCCTTTTTCTCTTATTTGGAAGAGAAGGGAAAACCTAACTTTCCATCCTGAAAGAGAAGCATGGGATTTGATGGGAAAAATTCTATTTTTGTGTGGAACCAGCACCATCTTGTGGGTTTATGAGATATTACCACAACTGACTTACAGTGAGTTACTTACACTGTGTTCCTTTCCTTAAAGTTTGAAAACAGAGGAAGGTGAATAAATGCATTGCTGGAGTCTATGTGAGGTTCTGACTGAGCCATGGTTTCTACTAATGAAATACTACTGTGTAGTGGTAGTGATACCATATCATTATTCTGGCATTATTATTATTATTTATTTTTTTTTTTTTTTGAGACAGAGTTTCACTCTTGTTACCCAGGCTGGAGTGCAATGGCGCGATCTCCGCTTACCGCAACCTGCGCCTCCTGGGTTCAGGCAATTCTCCTGCCTCAGCCTCCTGAGTAGCTGGGACTACAGACACGCACCACCATGCCCAGCTAATTTTTTGTATTTTTAGTAGACGGGGTTTCACCATGTTGACCAGGATGGCCTCAATGTCTTGACCTCGTGATCCGCCCGCCTCGGCCTCCCAAAGTGCTGGGATTACAGGCATGAGCCACTGCACCCGGCCCTATTCTGGCATTATTTATGAAGTTCCTCATTTATTTAAGAGATTAGAGAGAGTGACTAATTTAAAAATTCCCTTTACTTCCAAAGGATTCCATTAAATATCAAAGTCTTTCTGATGCAAATAACTGTTGCTAGTTTGGAGGGGATATTCAGATTGGGTAGGCATGACTTTTGTTTGTTTGGCTTGAATGGTTGCTAACTAAAATGTAGGGAAATACAGACACACGCATATATTTAAATACAGTTGTAAAAAACAAATTGGTGCTGATAGGATTTTAAATCTTTTGACTTTAAGTTATCCAGAACAGGTGAGGATACTCTGTACATACTACAGAAACAACAATAATCCTCCAAGCCTGGTTGACATATTTCACAGAATACCTAAATCTTTTTTACCAAGCAATGTCCTGCTTAACAATCTGGTTTCTGAAGACCTTGAAAGCAGGCAGAAGGATACCTTTGATTCACTAAAAAGGCGTGTCTCTCCGCTGCCACCTCCCCATCCCCCATCCCCCAGAGAAAACTATGAATCTGGTATTCAAGTTTTTATCTCTGAGCCTGGAGAGCTGAAGCTCAGACCCTGGTCTGAAACACTGCATTAAGCACCACCTACTGCCTTCTCTATTTTCATCTTCACTCTACAGTACATTGCAAGCCACGTCCCAAAAGGAGTTCCCTCAGTGTTTTAAGTATTTTAATTAAGGTATACAGGTTCCTGAAAAAAAATTTTTACAAAATTCAACTTTTCAGAATTGTTAATTACATACCAAGATAAATCTATCCCAGAGACTTATATGTACAGCAAAAATGAAGTATTAGGAATTGTTGGATTTACCTTCTGTCTGAAACAACTGAAAACAGGACAAAATGTATGAAACAATAGTTTTCAGACATTGCACATTACACAGAGCAAAGCAGAACAAGATCCCTGAACGTGGGAAAACAAATTCAGTGCACTCTAGTTATCTAAACATACTACCTAGACAGAGGATCCGGGCAGCAGCACAGGAATGGGAACCCAGACTGAGCCAGGGATCCTCCCTGAGATGAGCAAAAGGAGCTCAGAGTCTGGGAAGACCAAAATGGTCAGAGTTGACAGGGTAGAAAAATCCAAGAGGAGGAAGCTGCACAAACAGAAAGCTCCAGAGATCTACAGAACGCCCCCTCTTAAGTCTGGGAAATAGCCGCCCAAAAGAATCAGAGGAAACAATCCTCTGAGTTCACACAGTGCTACAAACAGTTTATATTTCCACCAGGCAGATTGGAAAACCTGGTATATGAAGGGGCATCAGACTACTCAGAATACCCCAAAGAGAAGTGCCTTGGCATGGAAAAAATAATACTAAAGGTTTCTCTGGTGCCATATAACAAACAAACTGTGTCCAAATAATTGCATCCTATAGAAAAGCTCGGGAACATGTATAGTAATACAAAAACATCCAGCACCCCACAAGGCAAAATTCACAATGTCTGATATCCAATCAAAGATTACCAAGCATGGGCACCATAGTAAGACACTATCTCTACATAAAAATGTAAAAATTAGCCAAGCATTGCGGCACATGCCTATAATTCTAGCTACTCAGGAGGCTGAGGCAGGAGGATGGCTTAAGCCCAGGAGGTCAAGACTGCAGTGAACTGATTACAGTGCTACACTCCAGCCTGGGTGACAAAGTGAGACCCTGTCTCAAAACAAACAAAAAAGACAAACATTACCAGGCATACAAAGAAGCAGGAAAACAATCTTATAATGTGAATAATCAGTCTATCAAAACTGACCCAGAACCAATACAGGTAGTAATCCGTAGATAAGGATATTAATACAAACATAACTATACTTCATATATTGAAGAAGCTAGAGGAAAGATTGAACACATTAAGTATAGACATGAAAGATATAATAAAGCCCCAAATCAAACTTCTAGAGGTGAAAATTTTATCTAAAATTAAAAATAGACTGGATGAGATTAACAGCAGATTAAATGCTATAAGAAGAAAAGATTAATGAACTTGAAGACAGAAATATAAAAACTGTCCTAAATGAAACACCAAGACTTCAAAAACAATGAAAAATATACTGCATAAGATTAATAGCAGATCAGATGCTATAAAAGAAAAGGTTAATGAACTTGAAGACATAAAAATAGAATTTTTCAAAAATTAAAAAAAATCGGTAAGCTGTGGGACAACTTGAAGAGCTCTGATACATATATATACATTATCATTATACACATTCCACAGATATTATTTCCCAAGTCCTTAAAGGAGAGAGGAAATAAGCAAGACGGAAAAAAAAATGCTTTAGAAATAATGGCCAAAAATTTTTCCAGTTTAATGAAAACTATACACCCACAGATCTAAGAAGCTCAATGAATCCCAACTACATGAAATGTGAAAATTATTCCAAGGCACATCAAAATCAAACTGTTTAAAAAAATGAGAATACATGGAAAGAAGATATATATATATATATATATATATATATATATATACACACACACACACACATTATATGCATAAGAACAAAGATAAGAGTACATTTGGCATGATTCTATTTTTACAGAACTCTAGAAAAAGCAAACTAACATATGGTGACAGCATCAGAGGTTTCCTCAGGATGGGGAATGGGTGAAGAGAGGCAGGAGAAAGAGATTATAAAGGTAAAAAGTTTCCCCTTCACCTTTTTTGTACCTCAGCTCACCTGAGGTGCTGCTGGGAGCAGTGTGGTTCCGAGGTCCTGGTCTCTGATCAGCCTTTCCGCCAATCCAGCAGGCTGGGAGGCAGCCAGGGCTGAAGTGAGGAGAGGAAGTTTTCAGAATCTGGATGTCTTCCTTAACCACTCCCAGAGGCAGCAGATAACAATCTTCATAGATCAGAACAATACCTGTACTGCCATCTGTATTTCAAGACTTGTGTTATCTTCCCGACAACCTCCAACTCCCTCCAACCTTCCAGTCTCACCCATATTTTCTCCCATCTCCTTCCTCCAAGCCAAAATCCAGATGGTCTGGCCCAGTCATAAAGCAGTTTAACACACAGACTTTGACTCTCCAAACAAGATTGATTTATTTTGGTCCATCCTGTTTGCAAACCTCTCAGGGATACCCCAATCTGAGCAGCATACCATTTCAACTCACACTTAGGCCTACTAATCACAGTCCCAAAATCTCTCCAAGAGAACACCATACAGCACCATCCTCACCTAATTCTGCTTCTGCATCAGATTCCTCTTTCACAATGTGGCTCAGAAGCTCCCCAGGCCCTGAGGATGAATTCTCAAGTCCCAACTCCTGAGGCACCACTTCAAGATGGGGCTCCACTTCCCCCATTTGGCTGCTTTGAGATTCCATCTTCTCTGATAAGATGTCCTGTCCTAGGACCTGGATACGGATCTAGAGACCATAAGTTAATTAGTAATTACTTAAGAATCCAGAGTAGGGATCTCTAAAAGATACAAAGCTTACCCTCTACAACATATCATAAGACAGTGTCTAGGGATGTGGAGTAGAGAAAGAGAAAACCAGCTTTCACTGCTAGTCCAGCAGGAACCAGGGAAAGAAATATCCCAAAAGACATCAAAAGCTGAGGCCTGAACCAGGAGTGGGAGACCTTCAAGACATCCCATGAATGTTGTGCCTCTACTGGACATACCCCACCAGTTAAAACTCAGACCTCTTTTGAATAACTTCTCAAACATTCTAGCCTAAAGGTGGAATATGCTAAGAGACTTTAACCTCAATCCCCAATAGCTAAAAGGTGTTCAGAGTGAGAGTATTAGAATTAGGTGAGGTATGGGGGGGACCCAGATGTGGTATAACAAGAAATATACATTTAGTCTTTGTCCCCAGTTCCTGCAAATAGCTCCTAAAGCCCTGGTAATTTCCTGAGTGACAGGAGTGAAAGAAGAGCCTCTGTTATTCATAATGAGCCCTTCTCAACCACACCTGAATTTATGCTAGGCTCCTAGATAGCTTCAGTATAGGGGCTGGTTGCCAGAGGAACCAACCATGAGATTAAAGGGTTGGAACTTCCAGTCTCTCCCCGCATCTTCTGAGGAGGGGAAGGCAGCTGGAGATACTCAATCACCCATGGCAAATGATTACATCAAGTGTACCAAAGTAGTGAAGCCTCCATTAAAATCCCTAAACCATGGGGTTCAGGAAACTTCCAAATGGTTGACCTCATTGAGGTACTGGTAATGTAGCATGCCAGGAGACGCATGGAAGCTTCATACCCTTTCCCTACACCTTGCTCTATGAAGCTCTTCTCTCTGGCTGTTAGTGAGTTGTATCCTTTATAGTAAGTCAGTAATACTAAGTAAAATACTTCCCCGAGTTCTGTAAGTCATTCTAAGTAATTATCAAACTTGAAGAGAAGATGGTGGGAACCTCCGAATGTATAGCCAGTTTGTCAGAAGTACAGGTGGCCCCTGGGACTTGTGATTGGCACCTGAGAGCAGGAGTAGCCATCTTGGATTGCGCTCTGAACCTGTGGGGTTGTACTAACTCCAGATGGTTAGCTTCAGAACTGAATGGTTGGGCACTCTACTGGTGTTAGAGAATCAGAGAATTGGCCGTTGGTATGAAAAGCCCCACCCATTTGGTGTCATAATTGGTATCAGAAAAAAGACAACACACCTGATGGGACCAAAGAGGAGCCCTATTTCACTCCCAGATCATAATACCCTCTGCTTACCCATTGCCACAGTCTCTGGGGGTCCCCCTTCAAACTCTCCACAAGCGTCACTGCCTCTTCTCCACTTCCTGGACACTGTTTCCGCACCCACATCTGGATCTCCCCAGGCAGGATGGTCAGAAACTGCTCCAACATGAGGAGCTCGAGGATCTGCTCTTTGGTGTGAACCTCTGGCTGTAGCCACTGGAAACAGAGCTTCCGAAGTTGTTTCAAGGTTTCATGAGGCCCAGACATCACTTGGTAACGGAACTGCCTGAAAAGCTGGCGTGCAGTCTCAGGGCTGGAGAGTTCCTCTTGAAGGGCAGCATCTGATCCAGAGAACTGGGAGTCCTCGGCCTTCGCCAGTGATGGCAGCAGGCCTAGGGCCTGCCCCAGGTCAATGGGCATTGTCCAGCCTGGCAAGTCCTTTTAAGTAAAGTGCTTCTGAAGTGGAACTGTCTCTGGAAAGAACTAGGTCTTCACCAGGAATGAGACTAAAAAGGGAATGAGATTGAGTGGTATACACAGGAAGGGGACACATTTTCAGAAAAAACAAATTCACATGCCCTACCCAAGAGGCCTTGGAGTCAACTATGGAGCTTTTGAAATTGCTCAATGGATACATGATTCCATTTTGAAAGATTATAAACTTGAAACCACAAAGCAAACTACTGATACCATACCATACCTAAACAGCCACCATCTCCCTGCCCATTTTCTAATGCTCTTTCTTGGTCTTCCAATGTCCAGACAAAATGAAGAACAAAATGCATCATAAGAAGCATTTTCGCCGGGTGTGGTGGCTCACGCCTGTAATCCCAGCACTTTGGGAGGCTAAGGCAGGTGGATCACGAGGTCAAGAGATCAAGACCATCCTGGTCAACATGGTGAACCCCTGTCTCTACTAAAAATACAAAAAATTAGTTGGGCGTGGTGGCGCATGCCTGTAATCCCAGTTATTCAGGAGGCTGAGGCAGCAGAATTGCCTGAACCCAGGAGGCGGAGGTTGTGGTGAGCAGAGATTGTGCCATTGCACTCCAGCCTGGGTAACAAGAGCGAAACTTCATCTCCAAAAAAAAAAGCATTTTCACTATAGATTTGCAGGTAAATGGCTCTTCTATAGAACACTTCTACATCTTCATCTATATATCTGCATTCTAAAAAACAAAGCTGGAAAAAGATATTAGTGCCATAGGAATAAAAGCTAATGTTGAAATATTCAGATGCTTTCATAATAAATAGAAAGTTAAAAATAACCAGTCTTCCCAAAAAGGTATAATGAAATTTTCAAGAGACCTCTTTTGAGTGCCATATTGAAACAGGTCTATTTGAGAATTTGTGAAAAAAAGCAAGTATCATACCTGACACTTTCAACCTCAGGGTTAAAGAGGGTTGAGAAGACTAACTACCTTGAAAATACTCCTATAGCCTTGATATAAATAATCACTGTTTTATGTGAATGGTATCAAAATTTAGAAGAGCACAACTAAGACAGAAGGAGAAATATTAAATGGCAAAATAATATTGTTACTTTAAAAGGATCATCCACTATTTCTAGTTAACTTTCTTGCAAGTAATCATAATATAGGATTATTGGGTCAATCCTTAAATGTTATGAAGAATTTGGTGGTCATCATTTCTCCCTAAGACTAATCACAACAATAAATAAAAAAATACCCACTCACTTGGGGATCCAGCTTAATCAGAGATCAGTACAATGCTCTAGCTTTTTGTAGCTGCTTATTTCTTAAGGTGTAGGAAACAATGTCTTCATCCTTACCATTTCACCCAAATAATTTATCCTACATTGGAAAATCATTTAAAAACTAAAACAAACAAATAAAAAAACACCAATTTTTTTCATTTTTCTTTTTTTTCTTTGAGACAGAGTCTCACTCTGTCGCCCAGGCTGGAGTGCAGTGGTGTGATCTCGGCTTGCTGCAACCTCCGCCTCCCAGATTCAAAGGATTCTCCTACCTCAGCCTCTGAATAGTTGGGACTACAGGTGCCCACCACCATGCCTGGCTAATTTTTGTATTTTTAGTAGAGATGGGGTTTCACCGTGTTAACCAGGATGGTGTCAATCTCCTGACCTCGTGATCCACCCACTTCAGCCTCCCAAAACACCAAATTTTTCCAAGGGCCCAAGAAACAAAACAGTGCAGTCAAAAGAATTACAGTTCACCTTTGAATAATGTAGGAGTTAGGGGCACCAACCCCCACATAGTAGAAAATCCATATATAACTTCTGATTCCCCAAAAGCTTAACAGCCTCCTGTTGACTGATGCTTTAAATAGTTGATTAACATACATTTTGCATGTTACTGTATTTTTGTGATAAAATAAGTTAGAGAAAATATTATTAAGAAAATTACAAGGAAGACAAACTACATTTACTATCCACTAAGTGGAAGTCAATCACCACAAAGGCCATCATCTTCACCATCTTCACACTGAGTAGCCTGAAGAGGACAAGGAATAGGAGGAGGAGAAGGAAGGATTGGTCTTGCAGTCTCAGGAGTCACAGAGGCAGACAAAAATTCATGTATAAATGGATCCCTGCAGTTCAACCCTGTGTTAAGGGTCAACTGTAATCCAATACCAAATTTTTTTATGTGGTCGTCATTAAATTTATTTTTTGCTTAAAAAGAAACCCAGGCCAGGTGTGGTGGCTCACGCCTGTAATCCCAGCACTTTGGAAGGCTGTAGTGGGAGCATCACCTGAGGTCAGGAGTTTGAGACCACCCTGGCCAAGATGGCAAAATCCTGTCTCTACTAAAAATACAAAAATTAGCCGGCCATGGTGGTGCACACCTGTATCGTAGCTACTTGAGAGGCTGAGGCAGGAGAATAGCTTGAACCTGGGAGGCGGAGGTTCCAGTGAGTCGAGATTGCACCACTGCACTCCAGCCTGGGAGACAGAGCATGACTCCATCTCCCAAATAAAAAAAAGTCAGCAAAGGCAGAAAACCTGAACACTATCAACTGACTTGCTCTAATTGACTTTACAACACTAGACCCAAGAACTGTGAAGTATACATTCATTTCAAGTGCAAAAATGATATTCATCAAAACAGACTATGTGCATAATTTTCAAATGATTGATACCTTAAAGTTAGCTCTAAAAATATTACACAAGGTAGTATTGCTAAAAAGCCATTAAAGCAATAAAAAAAAAAAAAAAAAAAAAAAAAAAAAAAAAACACCACTGACAAAGCCAAAATCTGATAGAAAAGGAACACAAGAGAAACAAAAACCAGAAAGGTAAAATGGAAAACTTTAGAGCTTCCTGGGTTCGAATATATTCTCTGATCACAGTGCAATTAAATTAGAAATCAATAACAAGAGATAACTAGAAAATCCAAATTTATGGAAATTACTAAATAACACCGTTAACTAACCCATAGTCAAAGAAAAAACTCACAAAGGAAATTAAAATATGTTTTCATACTGAGTGATAATAAAAAACAGCATATCAAGCCGGGCACGGTAGCTCATGCCTGTAATCCCAGCATTTTGGGAGGCTGAGGTGGGTGGATCATGAGCTCAAGAGATCGAGACCATCCTGGTCAACATGTTGAAACCCCATCTCTACTAAAAATACAAAAAATTAGCTGGGCATGGTGGCGCGTGCCTGTAGTCCCAGCTACTCAGGAGGCTGAGGGAGGAGAATTGCCTGAACCCAGGCGGTTGTGGTGAACCGAGATCGTGCCATTCATTGCACTCCAGCCTGGGTAACAAGAGCGAAACTCCGTCTCAAAACAAAAAAACAGCCTATCAAACCACCTGGAAAGCAGCTAAAACATTGCCCACAGGTAAACCTACAGTTTCAAATAACATCTTAAAAAAATGAATAAATATATTTTTTTAAATCCTTCGCTTTGTAAATCCAACCTATTTGGCTTCAGAGTTTCAAATAACAAGTGGCAACATTTTAGATAGGAAGATACTAACCTGTAAACTTATTCCAATTTACTTGTTTCCTAAATTAAGATAGCACTTTAGATAATACTTAAGAGAAATGACATTTTGGGAAAACTACAGATTTTATACAATATTTAAATCTTGTTTTAGTAATATTATGCTCCCAGGTAGCATGGTAAGAAAAACGTCTCGGCTATTCAAAATTAAATTACTTTAGAGAGTATTAAAATTGTTTAATAGCATTTACATCCCAATGACCTCATGAGGAATTGCCCCACTAGTTATGAAAAAAAAAATTAATGTTATCCCTTATACCTGTTATTAAGCCTTTAACAAACTGAATGAATTTTTAAATGTGCATCCTAGGTAAGTATACTTAATATACACACATAGTTACATACATGGTTACATATATAAGTAACCATTTGTTAAGCACATACTGTGTATCATTATTAGGCTCGGCTCTTGAATTTCTGATCCTCACAATCGTCCTGGTGTACAGCTCAGGAAACTCTGAGGCTCACAAGGGGCAGCCAGATTAAAACCCAGGAAGCTCTAATGCCTTTGCTTTGGGGAGAACTGCCAACGTCTGGTGATTTGTGGGAGCGTTTTGTGGTTGTCACAAGCAGCTGGGGTAACGGGCCAGGGTAACGCTGCTCATCGGAGTAGTCTCCACCATGCGCCCCCCCAAATGCCGACAGCACTCTGACGAGAGGGAGAGACTCCGAGCATCATCCCATCGAGTTTCCTCTTTCCTACGCTCATTTTCAAAAAGCATCTTTAAAAATGCCCTCAGTGGAAGTCAGCGGGGATGACCCCGCCTTCTGTTCCAGCGCAGAGACCCGGCCGGTCCCGCGGGGCGCACAGGCGCAGGAACGCAGAGCCGGGAAGGGGTTCACAAATCCCCCCGCACCCAGGGTCCACTCCCAGCCATGGCTGCCCCGGCCCCGCGCTCGCCATGTCCCCCACACGCTCCCAGACGCACGGGCGCGGGAGCCCGTAGACACTCCACCGCTCCGGGGCGCCCAGTCGAGTCAGGTGCGGACGCCGATGGCGCCAGGCCTGACCCGGAGCGGACAGAGGCCGGGACCGCCCCGCACGCGCCCTCACCTCGGCCCGCGGCGCCGGCTCCGGGCGCACTTCCGGGAGCTGGGCGGCTGCGCGCGCCTCCGGTGACCGGAGAGTGACGTGCGACATTGGGCGGAGCTAGGGCGAGGGCGGAGCTAGGGAGAGGGCGGGGCTGACTCCGAGGCTCCTATTGGCCGTAGGGGACGCCCCGCCCCTCTCGGCCGCCGAGGCAGTGCAGGTCCCGAGCCAACGTCACCCTCCGTTCCTTCCGTCACTCAGTCACTACTCACTCACGGTTCCTGAGTTCCTTCATTACGCACCGTCATTTACTGCGCGCCTATTCTGTGCCAGGCACTCGGCCAAGCACTGAGAGGCCTTCAAAGATCATTTGTCTCTCCCGAACCCTTCCGCCCAGTCCCACACCCAAAGTTGCAACGCTCTGCCAGGATCCCTGCTTCTTAACCGGTGCCTTTCTCCTCCTTTCCGTTCTTGCCTCACTTGGTTTCCCTGAGGCATTTGATTTGCCCCAAGCTTCTTCCCCTGTCTTAATTCTCCCACTCTCGCCAGCTCTGCAGCCCCTGGGTCCTCCCACTTCTCTCCATTCCGTTAGGGCTAGTCCAGTGTGGTCTCATCCTCTTTCCACCTGCGTCTCTTTCCCTGCCTCTTTCTCTCCCTCTCAACAAATGTCATCCTTGACTCTTCTCCTTCCCTTTCCCACACACCAACAATGGACGAATCCTCTGATTTTACCTCATTGTCTCTGGGACACCTCACCCTCTCTCCCTTCTCTCTACCCCTCCCTTGGCTTAGCTCTACACCTTTCTTAAGTAAGAACGGTAAGGTCTTCTTACCCTTTCCCGAGCGTCCAGTCTTGCTGGTGTCCAGTTCATCCTGTGCTGGGCCGCATCAGTCATCTTGTGCATTAATAGAAGTATGATGCATTAATAGAAGTTGCATTAATAGAAGTATGATGTCAAAGTTTGGCGTTCCATCTTGGGCAAATGGCAAAGAGGAGAGTATTCGAAAAGAAAGAGCTGTCAAGTTCCCCCATAACCTACGGAAATAAAATAAATAATAAAAATTTTAAAAAGAGCTGTCAGTATGGTGGTGCGTCCTGTCCCTGTCCCATGTTTAGAGGAACTGAAGACATCTCCTCTGGAGAAATAATACATCTCCTTATGTACCTGAAAATAATACATCTCCTCATGTACCTGAAAAAAGAATACATCTCCTCATGTACCTGAAAAACTGACCAGTGGAAAAGGGATTTGACATGTTCTCTTAAGTCTCAGGGGCCGAACAAGATCCCATGTGTAAAACTACTGTTTCAGTCTGACCTAGTGGAAGTTTCTCGTCTTTTTTCTTTTTTGAGACAGAGTTTCACTTTTGTTACCCAGACCGGAGTGCAGTGATCCAATCTGAGCTGACTGCAACCTCTGCCTCCCAGGTTCAAGTGATTCTCCTACCTCGGCCTCCCAAGTGGCTGAGATTACAGGATCTGCCACCATACCCTAAATTTTTGTATTTTTAGTAGAGACAGGGTTTCTACTAAACCCAGGCTGGCCTTGAACTCCTGGCCTCAAGTGATCCTCCACCTCGGCCTCCCAAATTGCTGGAATTACAGGTGTGAGCCACCACATCCCACTGGAAGTTTCCAATATTCATGTGATTGATGGTGCTGCTTTGAGTTCCTGAGGACAACACGGCTAACAATTTACCAGGCACATTTAGAGGGACACCTTTATTGGGTGCTGCCTCCAACATCAATGTGCTTTGCTTCTAAGAAAGTCAAGAGATAAGGTGCTTTGAAAAAAGGTTTGATGAAATGCTGAAAAGAATAGACAATATAGAGAGGAATATAAATGAACTAACGGAGTTGAAAAATACAACACGAGAACTTAGTGAAATATGCACAAGTTTAAATAGCAGAATGAATCAAGCAGAAGAAAGGATATCAGAGGTTGAAGACCAACTTAATGAAATAAAACGACAAGACAAGAATAGAGAAAAAAGGATGAAAAGGAATGAGCAAAGTCTCCAAGAAATATGGGACTATGTGAAAAGACCCAATTTATGTTTGATTAGTGTACCTGAATGTGATGGAGAGAATGAATCCAAGCTGGAAAATACTTTTCAGGATATTATCCAGGAAAATTTTCCCAATCTAGCAAAGCAGGACACTATTCAACCCCAGGTAATACAGAGAACACCACAAAGATATTCCTCAAGAGCAACCCCAAGGCACATAATCGTTAGATTCACCAGGATTGAAACGAAGGAGAAAATACTAAGGGCAGCCAGAGAGAAAGGCCAGGTTACCCATAAAGGGAAGCCTATTAGACTTACAGCAGATCTCTCAGTGGAAACCCTACAAGCCAGAAGAGAGTGGGGGCCAATATTCAATATACTTAAAGAACAGAACTTTCAGCCTAGAATCTCATATCCTGCCAAACTAAGCTTCACAATTGAAGGAAAAATAAAATATTTTATGAACAAGCAAGTACTCAGAGATTTTATTACCACCAGGCCTGCTTTACAAAAACTTCTGAAAGAAGCATTATACATAGAAAGGAACAACCAGTATGAGCCTTTCTAAAAATATACCAAAAAGTAAAGAGCATCAACATAAAGAGATAAGGTGGTTTGGAGGGGAAGATTATATGAGTTTTATCTTCAATGTGTTCGCTTTCAGCTGATCAACATCCACGGAAGATAACAATAATTCAAAACCATTAATTGGGTTTTCACTCCTTTGTGAATGTGATGGAAGCTAGAACTTTTTCCAAGGAAAATGCACATACACATCTACATACA